GTAACTGCAGTGGGTCCATCGTTCATTGCTTAAATTTCCACTGTCTAATGTATTCTTTTCATTAAGTTTCTGATTGATAAATTATATTTCAAAAAGATTGCCATTACAAAAATAAGGCCACAACAGCAGCCATACGTGACCCACTGCAGTTTACGCGAATTTGAATGCATTTCTTGTCAAAGGGGTCACTGACAAATACAGTGAGAGTAGAAATATAAATTAAAAGATCTGGTTTAGGTTATATTATGCAAATGTGATGATTATTATCTGTTGGCATGTAGGCAAACAATTTTGTTATATACATACATTTAGAACAACATAAGCACAAATTTATTCAATGGATCATATGGAAGTAAGTCATCCATAAATCAAAATTATGGGGGAAATATAGGTATGTAATATGAATTCATATTTTGTATATTTCAGATGTCTTACAGAGTTAAACCATTCTATGAATGTTGTTTAAGTTTTATTGGTTTCTCAACTGAAGAACAAAAACATATGGAAGAGTTAACTATAGAAAACGGTAAATTATCCTGTTAGAGAAATTTTGAATATGGGAAAACTTGGTCAATAACTTGAAGAGCTTTGTAAGGTTTTGAGTCCGATTCTTTTCAGTTAATTAATAAGTATGAAATATGCAATCCTTCATAGTCAAGTTGAAAATACAGCTTATGGTTATGGTTACAAATTTTGGAGATCAGACTTAAAGAACTTAACAAAAGATTACTTCCTCTACTTTATTGATATTGATAGAAATTGCAAAATACATTAAACATCTATCCATTGAACACTAGGAGACAGAGAATTTACCTTAAATTTCAGAATATAATGCACAGTTTTTTTTTACCCCAAAATGGGTCCCTTACAGTTACAGTTCCTACTTTTAAGGCTGACACACATTCACTTTCTTTAAATTATAGAAACTTTAGCAAAAAGATAAGGCTTATACAATGTTATATTGTGTTTCAGGAGGAACATATTGTGCTCTAGGCAGTGATGAATCTACACATTTAGTAGTAGATGAACATGCTATAAAAGAATTACCTTCTATAGATAATTTACCTGTCCATGTTGTTAGAGGAGAGGTAGGGTCATTTTTCTCTTACTTTCAAAGCTTTGAAAAAAGAAAAGAGTGTCAATTTCCTATGGTTTAACTTTAAGTGAAGTCCTGTGTAATGTATCATGAGCAAGTTTACCTCATTGCATAGAGCTTGGTATTGTAAATTTTCAAGAGGCAAGTCAGATGAGAAAAGTATGTTATTGTCATTTTTACTATTCACATATGCATATCTTGGAACTTTTCAGTGGTTTTGGGGATGTATTCAAATGGAAGCCTGTGCTGATGAAACCATCTACACCTTTCAGAAGGTGAGTTAGAATATAACTTTTTGATATTTCTTTGCATTGGACAAATAATGATCAAAAATGAGCCATAAATGCAGAAAACTTTATTAATTACATACTAAAAGAGACAAACTGCTAGTAATGTTCAACAAAATTATTTAAAGAGTCCAGATTTTGCTTGTCTTGTGTGCATGTCAAAGTAAAAAGAAACACAGCTACAAGAGCCTGATTATGATATAGAGGTATCAAACAATAGTTAATCAGGTCACTGGATAATTTAGCTGTAAGGTTGATTGGCCATGATTTAATTAGCTTTATCTAGATTAATTATCCAAACAAGTTCTCCTTTCCTTTCCTACAATAGATCAAATTTAACAGCTCCATATCTCTATAGATCACTTTAGATATGTATATTTAGCAATATAGGTTTTCACTTCATATTTGTCTCCAAAATATTTTGAAGCCATAACTAATGTTATCTGGCATAGGGACAGTGTGTTTTAGATAGTTTAGAATATGGATTTGTTGATATTAATTCCTAAATTAGTCAAGGTTTTGAAAAAGTTGAAAAAATCAGGCAGATATGAGGTATAGGTAGTCTTGATTGAATGCAAATTTAGGACTCAATGATACTTGAATTCTATTCTGAACAAACAATATTCATTCTTTTCAAAAGACCAATATCCTGTAAGAATAAACTTCAGTCAAGTTTGGTTCTTGAAACTATTGCAGACAAATAGAGTTCTTTCTTGTTTCTCATTTGCTCTTAAGAGATCCAATGTGATGTCTCGAGTCTCATTTCTCATTTACTCTTATAGTTTATAGGTGATGTTCTAGTTAGAAAAGGCATTACTTTCTATACGCCCACATGAATATGTGGCCGTATATTGTCGTCGCCCCTGTCCGTCGGTCCGTCTGCCAACAAGTTCGAATTTGACATATTTTCGATGTACGGTTTTTGAGATGTTTCCCTTGACTTAGAACGCCTTGAAATTTGTTAAAAAAATTTCGTAAGCAGGATTGAAGCTACAGTTTTCATCCGATTCTGATGAAACTTGGTGTGATCATTGGAATTGATAAGATCTCGGACAACTTATAACTTGACGCATTTTCGATGAACGGTTTTTGAGTTATTGCCCTTGACTTTGTTAAAACGCTTCGCAAGCTATCTTTAGATATATACATTAGGAAAATGATAACCTGAGGCCCTAACAAAACCCAATTTTTTTTTTGTCTACGTTGCTTTATATATTATGCTTCCAATTGTAGGTATCGGCACCAATGGCGGGTATATCATCAGGCAGTAATCTATCTGGTTCTAAGTCACGGAAACGTAAAAGACTTAAAGAACTGGTCCAAGAAGGAGAACAGGAATCGCCTTATCTAGCTATCAAACGAAGATCTAGTGAAGTAGGTGGTATGTCCATGAGTCCCAACTCTTTCCTAGATGCGTCACATACACCTGATAAATCAGATTACATAGCAGGTACGTCATGTTGAATCTTAACCTTTGAACTTTAGATGCAGCTTTATGACCAAAAGTTATTAGTATATAATCAATAATCCTTCCAAGCAAACATCATCAAATCATGTCCTGTTTCTTGAGCATCAATTGCTGTAGATTTCAGATCTTGGAGCTTTAGAGACCTTTTAATAAGATTTGTTTTGCTATCCAGCCTCATGGTACTGGCTTATAATTGACACTTAAATGCACGAATCTTCCTTTTAAATGAACAGTTGTATTATTTCCAAACTCATAAGAAATATGAATTTCGTTAGCTCTTAGCACATATTACTGAAGTATATCGATATTTATAGTAATGATTAATGAAGCAGTAACGCAACTTTTGTGTCAAATTTAAAAAGTAAATATCATGTATTATTATTTTGTATTTTTGTAGAAACCAATGGTCATAATGATGAGATAAAACAGTATCAACAAGTAATAATAAAATATCACCTAGATTACAAGTTGTTATGGAATTATTACAAACAGAAAAAAATTATGTTGCAATATTAAGTACCATTTTATCTGTAAGTATGCTTTGATTATATTTGACATCTTCTTTGGGTTTTTTCTCTTCTGAATTTTACATATTGACGGTGATTTCAAATTGTTGTAAAGATGTATTTTGTGGCTTCTTAAAAATGTCAATTTTGAGCCCAAATTTGGCATTTCATGGTCATTGGCGTAATATTCAGAGCTTTTTTATTCTATTCCTTGAATATTTTCATACTAAAAGTGAAAAAATCTGATGTTACATGGTTTATTTCTTAAAAAAAGTGTTCAAGCACTAAAAGTGAAACTCTGATTATTCTATTCCTTGAATATTTTCATACTAAAAGTGAAAAAATCTGATGTTACATGGTTTATTTCTTAAAAAAAGTGTTCAAGCACTAAAAGTGAAACTCTGATTATTCTATTCCTTGAATATTTTCATACTAAAAGTGAAAAAATCTGATGTTACATGGTTTATTTCTTAAAAAAAGTGTTCAAGCACTAAAAGTGAAAGGATTATTGATTATATACTAATACCTTTTGGTCATATAGCTGCATCTAAAGTTCGAATTGAATCTTTGTGAATTGACAAAATTGCAGACAGTTAAAATTAAGCCGTCTTCGATTGAAAAGCTTTGTTGTAAAGTCTCAAATCTTGTCAATGCACTTCAACAGGCTATTTGATGAAACAGTTTTAAAAGAAGCATCAAATTAATGCGGTACAGCTGTGAAAATCACATATTTTGACAACTATAACCCTGTAACTTGTATGATATTTTCAGACATTTAAAAGTCAAATTGAGAAACCAGACCAGTATAATGGACCATTGTTAAGTCAACAACATAGTAAGATAATATTTGGTAATATACCACCTATATATGATATACATTGTAAAATCAGAGATAGAATTGGTAAACTAGTAGAGAATTGGAATGAAGATTGTTCTGTTGGAGATGTTATTATAGATAATGTAAGTTTATTTGTTAATTGTTTGGATTTATCAAGAGTATGGAAGTCAGATGACTTGTAACCTTTGATACAGCAGAGAGGTGTTCTCATTTAGAACTGATAACCTTAATTATGCAACCTGATTGATTTTTGTCAATAATGAGTTAATGAGTATGTATACATGTGGTATAAAATTTGAAAGTTAAAACAAATAGAATCTATAATTTGTCCCAAAATCTAGAATACCTCTTAACAACCCTCTTTGATACAAACTCAGTGAAGATCCCGTCATATTGCTTAACATGAAAGATCATTTCGTGTTTTCTGCGCCTATAATAATTGAATTCCTCCAAAATGCCAAATCTTGTTTTATGGTTATAGGCTGAAGAGTTGACCAGGGCTTATCCCCCTTTTATCAATTTTTTTGATAAAACCAAAGAAACCATTACCTTATGTGATAAAACTATACCAAGATTTCATGCTTTTCTCAAGGTAAGTCACTTGATATTTCTTGTATAATTGTTATTGTTTTGTAGGTTTGTCTAAATGAATCTATCTAATGTGTTTAATAATTGTTTTGTAGGTTTGTCTAAATGAATCTATCTAATGTGTTTAATAATTGTTTTGTAGGTTTGTCTAAATGAATCTATCTAATGTGTTTAATAATTGTTTTGTAGGTTTGTCTAAATGAATCTATCTAATGTGTTTAATAATTGTTTTGTAGGTTTGTCTAAATGAATCTATCTAATGTGTTTAATAATTGTTTTGTAGGTTTGTCAAAATAAGTATACCTGTCCTATGTATTTGATCTTGTTTTGTAGGTTTGTCAAAATAGACTTATCTAATATATTTGATCTTGTCTTGTAAATTTGTCAAAATAGACCTATCTAATATATTTGATCTTGTCTTGTAAATTTGTCAAAATAGACCTATCTAATATATTTGATCTTTGTCTTGTAAATTTGTCAAAATAAACCTGTCTAATATATTTGATCATTGTCTTGTAGGTTTGTCAAAATAAACCTGAATGTGGTAGACAGACATTGACAGAATTACTAATTAGACCAGTACAGCGGTTACCAAGTGTAGTGCTATTATTAAATGGTATGTAGAATTCAAAGATGAACAGGCTCGAATTTTGGACAGAAATCTTTCTATGCTATTTTTAAAGAAGCTTTGTTTTATTTGCATGGATGAAGTCTTCAACTTTGTGTGATAATTTGATTCTTACATGACACTTTTCAGTATTAAAATCCTGCAATTTACCAAATTTGCTGGAATTCAAAGACCATCAAAACTCATGGAAACTAATAACGTTATATTTTTATGTTATATTTTTTTGTATTTTCTGCTGTAGATATTTTAAAAAGAACAAATGTAAATAATGCAGATCATGGTAAATTAGAACAAGCTATAAATGTTTTAAAAGAAGTCATGACGTAAGTTTATCTTGAGCTTTATTCTATTAGAAGTCACGACTTCTAAAATATTAATATGTATGTTTGTTTGTTATAAATATGGTTTTTTCATTACATATTACACCTTTGGTCAACCATTTGTGAGAAAGTCAAACAAGAACCAGATTGGCTTGACTAAGTGGTGTACACTGTACATGTATATGTTTGTGGAAACATTAATTAATATGATTTTATATTCTAGGCATATTAATGAAGACAGAAGGAAAACAGAAAGTCAAGTTGTTATGTTTGATATTATTAATGATATTGACAATTGTCCTGTAAGTTATTCAATTTACTTTCTAAGACTTTCTAAAAAGGAAATAAAAATGCAAACATAGCTAATAACTCACAGACAAGGCTTCTGCAGTTGGCAAGAACTATGGAATTTTCACCTCATTTTCTTGGTTACACCAAACTGATGGTTCCATAAAGTTGTGTCTATATATAAACCGATGGTATTTATTAATTATATGGGCAGGAGCCGCAGTAGCTCAGTGAGTTAGACGTTTGCTTGCTTACTGAAGGTCTATGGTTCAATCCCGGCATAGGTCGAGATAATACCTCCGGATTTTTCAACCTGGTATCCTCCTGTCAGTGATGCAGGTAGGAGTGGCTGCCTAGTCGTTCAGATGGCAAAATTAACTGAGACCATGTGTGCTACAGGCGGTACACGTTAAAGATTCCTCGACAGTTGGAAATCAGAAAGGAGTAGGCTAATTCTGCTGTCCTGGCAAAATTTCCCTCATTGCACCTTGCATGGCGTTGTTCATCTTCAGTAGCCCATGTGGTGCTGAAAAGTATGATGTAAAACTCCATTCATTTCATTTTCATTTACATATATTAATTATACGATCTATTGAGAGTATTGTCATATTGTTTACAGGCTACATTATTATCATCACATCGTCAGTTTACTAGTAAAATAGATGTTATAGAATTATCAGATACACTGAGTGGACGTGGTGATAGTTTAACATTGTTTTTATTTACTGATAGTATAGAGGTATGTTCTTTAGTCTTAAATTCACTTATCAATAATCTTAGAAAATCTTCAAGCTGCTGGCTGATAGCTAGGTCATAAGAATTTGTTCATTATTTGTGATGGAATCCTGATTTAACTTCTTTGACCTCAGCATCAAGTCCAACTGAACAGGATTTGAATCAAAATTTTGCAGATCACAGATGATGAGTGTAATAACTTGCAGATTTTAATATTTTTTAAAGCCTGATCTTTTCTCTTATTTTACCCATTTTAGACTAGACTTTCTATTTATTTTTGTTTTTTTACTGTCATGTGTTTTTATGTTTATTGCTTTAGATTTGCAAGAGAAGATCAAAATATATGCATACCCAGAAAAGTCCAGCAGCCTTACGAACACCTCAAAAAGCTTACAAACATTTAGAAATACTACCATTGTCCTCTATAAAACGGGTATTAGATGTGGCAGAATCTGAAGGTTTGTATGATCTTTATACTTTGAGTATCTAGTAGTTATGCAGAAAATATAGATAATTGATATTTGTCAAGATTTTAGGCAAGGTATATTGTGTGAATGAGGCAGATAATCATGACATTTGAAGTTGACTTCATGTTGATTTATACTTTATATTTGAATTAGTTATAGATGAATATTTAACTGCGATGTATATTCAGAAAGATCAAGTTATTAAGCTCACCTCACCTGAAAGCTTAGCAAATAACATTAGTGAATTTGTTTGATGAAAATATTGTATATTATTCCCTTCATCCTATCAAAGTGGTGGAGGCTTTAATTTGAGTTTTGACTCTTTTTTTTTCAGATTGTCGGTGTGCTTTTGCTTTTATTAGTCGTAATAATTCTGAATTTAAAGATAAATTATATAGTTTTATGTTAGAATCAGAAGAGGTGAACAAGTCTGAAATGTTGACGTCTCTGTCTAAATGTTTAGCTAATACATTGTGTAGACCTGATTATGTAAGTATTCTTTTCATTGATATGTATTTGAAAGAGTTGTCTATAGTGTACAGCTGCTTTATTATCAACAGATGGAGTTACTAGTCAGCTATTGTATTCTTTTTCAAAATGAAATATGATATCAGGTGTATTGCCAATTAAATAGATAGTTGATTTAGTTTGGTCTTGACATTTTTTCCCATATTTTCCCATCTTTTCTGAATGTAAATATTTTATTGTATATGAACTGGACATAATTCATTTCATTTTGAAAAGTGAAATGAATGCCTGAAATGTCCATTCTTAATATTATAGTGCTATATGAGTGTTCAATGTTTTTAATAATAAGGTATAGGCAATAGAGCGTAAAATTCAATTCGACTTTAATATGTAGCTTTTCATTGAAAGTTATTTTTTTACAGGAAACATTAATGGCCAGTGTTAAAGGTGAAGAATTAAATATCAATACCAAAGAATTAAATAATAAAATCAAAAAGGCTGTCAAGTAAGTATAGATTAATCTCTTCTGTTCGATTATGATACAATATACAAGTATGTCTAAACATAATGAAAGTAATTCTGAACATTATGAAAGTTTTTGCGAATATTATGAAAGTAACTCTGAACATTATGAAATTAATTCTGAACAATTATGAAAGTAATCCTGAACATTACGAAAGTAACTCTGAACACTATGAAATTAATTCTGAACAATTATGAAAGTATTTCTGAACATTATGAAAGTAATCCTGAACATTATGAAAGTAACTCTGAACATTATGAAATTAATTCTGAACAATTATGAAAGTAACTCTGAACATTATGAAAGGAATTCTAAACATTATGAAAGTACCAAGGTCACAACATCTGTCATCGTTTTATTTCATTGTTTATTATTATACATTGTAGGAGAGTAAGTCGAGCGTTCTCCTTCAATAAAACACCAGGTAGATTACGAAGGGCTATATCTGGTATATCACAAGGGTTGAGTCAAGGTATCAGTCCATTTGTACGTCATACACCTGGTGATCTACGAGGTCGAAGGTTAGCCACTGGTAGTACTTTTGATTTAACTGTAAGTATTTATCATTTTATTTCATTTCTCAATCCAAATGGACTTTAAGTTAATGTTTTGACATAGTCAAGAAAGTAGTTTATCCAGAGCACATTCAAATATTTTCAAGAGCATAAGAGCATACTTAACATGAACTGAAATAATTATCACTTTACTCCTGTTTATGAAATTTTTAACCAGATTGTGATCATAAGTTACATGAACTTGGCAATAGCTGTGGGCTGTCAGTGTCAAACAGTGCTTATCTAGAAAACCTCATAAGAGAGAATATTAAATATATTCAGATCATGGATCATAGGTCATAGTGAAAACATGAAACTATACATTTTAGTCTGCAGAAAAGTTGGTTTAATTCTTTAAGAAGCCTAAAGTTGTAATATACACAAAGATACAATACGAGTTATTCTGATTTAATTTCTTTTTTTACAGGATTCATCACCAATAGGATCAAGTCATTTTGATGATGATGGTGATTCTATTAGCTTAGGAGCTTTTTCTCTACAGGTAATTATTATTGATTCTCCCTTTTAATGGCTAGATTCACCCATGACCAATCATACCTGAGTCTCCGATATGCGAATTGTTAAGCTAAGCTACTCAGTAATAATGTTCACATCTCACTGTCAAAATTGGGCTCTTCAAATCCATGTATGTCCAGAATTATTGTTTAGCGTTTGAAAGTTAAAATGATGACTCTTCTTTTCCTGAGACTAAGCCATATATATATATATATATAGAATAGACATATAAAAAATGAAAGTGAAATTTCTAGTGTTAGGCATATTAGAAAGAATTGTGCGATTTTCATTCAGTTCTTGTTCTTCTGAAGACTTAAGTTTTCCAAAATCAACTCCTGAAAATGGCAAACCATGCCCTTGGAGCCAAAATCACAGCTTTTGAGAATGATTGTGCAGTAGTACTAACCTTCCTACACAGAATGATTTATTTTTTTAAATTTCACATTATTCTCTATAACCAGTTATCTTGTTATAATTATCTCATATATTATCATCTATTTATATCATAACAATCATTTTGTTTTTCAGGAGGAAGGATCACCTATTAGTAATTTTCAAACGCCTAAAAAATTAACCAAATATATGACATTAGGACCTAGTGCTACTAAAAAATATATGTAATTTAGATGACTTTTTTAGGTAGGTATTTTAATGAATTGAACAATTTCTTTTTAGTCATTACTTCACTATTTTCATGGTTTTAACCTTAGAACTCTTTTTTGTAAAAACCTTACTCATTAAAATAACCTAAATCCTGAGATGTAGCATTAACATTAAAGGTTTCTCAGATATAATTATATCCACCCATTTTGTAGCTAGCAGAACATTTATTTGTGTTCAAAGGGCTAATTACTGTGACCAATGGGATTCAAAAATGCAAGAGCTCTCTGCAGTGGTCATTTGATAGATCTAGATCTTTAGTGTGGCATTATTTTGACATTATCAATATCAGGGGAATTTAGAAGTTTAAGTTTCATGAATATGCTTTTTGTTTTGAATTCTTTATTTAATATTTATGGTCTATATTTCAGTAATATATTGTACAGATGTTCTACTGGTGGACACAGAATTATCACAGAAACACTGGTTGTGCCATAATCATTACTGAATTATCTCAGACTATATATTTTTAATATTTCATTATCATTCAAGATTTTTACACATAAAACTTGCTTCCATGTTCAATATTTTTAACTATATTTTGAAGCTACATAGATGTTCATACCACGCACTGTGTTCACTCAATACAAAGAAATTTCAGACATTCTGTTATAAAAAAAACATTCTCCTCTGTCGAAATATCAACAAAAAAAAATTACAAGAATTTTAAGACACCAAAAATTTGTCACATTATTTTGTCAGTAAAAGCACCCAGGGCTGTGTTCAAGCATGTTTTATTGTGATTTCTGAATTTTTCAATGTTTTAAAGATGAAACTAAAACTGATATAATTAAATGCAAACTGCAGCTAAAACTCCAGCTTTAGACTCTACTTTTGCAGCTTAATTTTTAGTATTCATTTCCCTGAGCTTTTCAGTGTAACTTCCTTTATAGTTATATTGAGCATTGCAACATTTGTCATATATCCATAGCTATTCACAAGTTTTTGTTAAAATTTTTAATTCAGTGTATGTTTTTCTTACCAAAGTATGGGCATTTTTTTTTTGACTAGGAGCTTGATCTAGTAGAATAAGTTACTATACCCAACTGCTAGTTTTTTGTATTTTTAAGTTATTTTAGTTTGCAAGATAATCATTCAAATAGAATATTTTTCATGAAAATAAAACGCTGTGTTCTTTATAAAAAGCTGGTGAGTTTTAAAAGAAAATTATTTGTATATTTCTGTGTATTTAGATAGTGTATATCTTGTCCATATCTTGTATATTCTGTAGTTTTGTATATACAGTTTATCACATACATACAAAAATCAGTCTTCAGAGTTTAATTAAGTTCTTCTTGACTTGCTTGGTCGTGATTACACAATGTGAGTAAAGTGATTTGAGTGATCTTGGAGGCTAAATATCACAATTCTACACAATTGCTCAAATGTCATTGGAAGGGTTGACATCACATCTCCCGCAAACAAATTGAAAAATCATTAATTGACCCTTCCAAACTATCAAAATACCTAAAAATTACTTACTGTAAAAGAAACTAACTTTAAAATGATGTTAATATGATGCCTATATCTTCAATGCAAAAATGATTAGGCCTATAGAGTTGTCAGAGGTACTGCTTTTCCCATTGCCATTCCCAGATGGTGATGAATTTTTCTTTAACCATGTCATTTCATTTACTGAAGCCGACTGCAATCTGGCGGTCATTTTTTAAAAATGACTCCACCATTTTGATTTATGTTTTATGTATTAATATTGTAGTTGTGTATATTAGTAAAGATATCAATGTATAAATAGTTACCATAATAATCACCATACAAAATCATCCTCTAGAAAATATATCACTATATTTCATCTTATTTATATAGATATCATATCATACCTTAGTCTTAATATTTTCTTTGTGCTATGTACAATATTAGATCAGAAAAATTATAGAAAAATTGATTTTGATTCTTGAATTTCATTCAGTTCAGTATGCAGGTATATCACTGATCAGTGAGTTTACTTAAGAAAGTTGAAAGTTAACCCTCATTACAGAAAGTGACTGCCCTTATAAGGATATTTTTTTTGATTGAAAACATGAGATAAGATCTAGTCTCTGTAATTAGGAGCTGCAGTGACTCGGTGAGTTAAGACACTTTTAGCCTACAAACCCAGGGTTCAAATCGGGCATAGGTCGGAATAATACCTTCAGATTTTCAACGGAATATTCCTCCATGTCAGTGATGCAGGACAATAAACAAAGGCGAAATGTACTACAGACTGTGCTCGAAGAAGGGAAGGCTTATTCCGATGCCAAATTATGTTCGAATCCATTCTACCAGGGGGTTCCCATGGAAAATCTTTTGAAAAAGGCCTTAAATTCTGCATTTGATGCACTTTGATGTAGTCTTTACATTTCTGGAATGAAACAATGCAGTTTTCAAAGTATTCGTGTGCCTTTAGAGGGGGCCATGGAGGACAAATTTGGACTGCATAAAATTAATTACTTTATTTATATAACAATTGGTATAAAATAATATAAGTTAAATATTACTGGAATCATGCCTATACATTGTTTTCTTCATGCAAGTTTTACATTCATTAGGAATGCCCTTAAAGTGACTGCCCTTATAAGGATATTTTTTTTGATTGAAAACATGAGATAAGATCTAGTCTCTGTAATTAGGAGCTGCAGTGACTCGGTGAGTTAAGACACTTTTAGCCGACAAACCCAGGGTTCAAATCGGGCATAGGTCGGAATAATACCTTCAGATTTTCAACGGAATATTCCTCCATGTCAGTGATGCAGGACAATGTGGCAAGCTCAAACTTGAACCACACTGTGGTGCGGCAAGCTCTTCTATGAAGTCTTGTGTGGCCATCTCCTGTGAACTACACATTCCTATGAGACCATCGTATAGTGAATATGGGTTTTGACATGGTCTTATTAACGACACAATGCTGTGACCAGCTTTCCTATGAACCATACACTCCTATGAGGCCAGCTGTGAAACACGCACTCCTGTATGACATCTGTGTGGCTATCTATATTGTGAATCATCCACTCTTGTTCTCTCAAAGTTTTTATCAACAATACATTCCTCTTAGGCCAGCTTTACTGTGAATCCTACAATCTTGTGTGGCCAGCTTGATTTTATGTTTGCCTTTTATTGCTAATGTCTCTTACAAATACCAACTCCTCTTTTTACCTTCCTTTAAATCCTTTCCCAGCATAGTGTGTAAAATTTTATAACGAATGGCTTGTGATTTCCATTGGTAAATCAACTCCTCCTGTAGTCTGGCTTTCTTTAACATTTCATGATGACAATTTTGTTGTAAGAGAAATGTTACCCAATCATGACTCAACTGCCTACAACGAAATCCAGTTATTAACAATTAGTTAATTCAATCAATCATTCATTTGTGACGTTTACTATTTACAGACATCAGACTAGAAAACGATATGAAGCTAATATAAGTTTTCCAGATCGACATTCACAGGCTAGAACATATCTTATTTTTTTTACCTAAAAATGACGATACATACCTAGAAAACTTTTCTTCAGTTTTTCTAAAATATTCATCCATTGTCTCTTTTCTTTCTTTCTTCTCATCTGAGCCAGCTTTCTTACTCTTGAAATAAGTTTTGAATTTACTACTACAGAATGATTTGTCTTTTGATTTCAATTTGTCTTTCTCTTCAGCCTGTCTTAATCGTTCTCTCAAACCATCTAATTCATTTTGTACCATTTGTTTGTTGGAATCCACAGATCTTTGAACTCGATAGGTCTCTTCTGTAATTTTGATATCTGACTTAAATTCTGACTCCCATTGCATTCCTTGCTCGTCCATAGCCATTCTGATCTCTTTTCTTACTTTAAACCCTCGTGATACTTCCATCCTACACAGTTTATCTCTCGCCGATCTATCAAGAAACTTCTCATCTTTTTCATTGTCTTTTCGCGGAAAAGGTGTGGAAGTCATGAGTGGACTTTCTATTCTCCAGGATGGACTGACAGCGTTACTGACTTTTCCACATCCAACTCTAGAGATCGGACTTAAAATTCTTTTTTTAGGTGGAGGCTTCCATTCTATATGTACAGGGGTCAAAGATCGGTAGTATTTAATAGCTACCGGGTCAAATTCCCCGTCCCACACATCTGTTTGAGAAGAACTTGTATCTGTGCTTTTATCAGAGCTTTCTGAAACATCATCAGTGGATTCGCCAGGACTCGAGTCTGTGCTTTGATAAGAGCTTTCTGAAATATCATCGTCCGATTCGCCAGGACTCGAGTCTGTGCTTTGATAAGAGCTTTCTGAAATATCCTCGTGTGATTCGCCAGGACTTGAATCTGTGCTTTGATAAGAGCTTTCTGAAACATCATCGTCAAATTCGCCAGGACTGGAATCTGTGCTTTGATGAGAGCTTTCTGAAACATTATCACTTGGACAGTCGATTAACCACAGGAGAGTTCTACTGCCAGACCATTTTACTATTGGTGTAGTCACTAAATCCTCGTTTTCAATGTTCTCTTCATAATACCTCCTGGACTCTCGAAGTTCTTTGAGAATAACGGGAGTAGCATCTCTCTCATCCCCTGTGATACTTTTGGTTCCATTCTGGGGAATTGGAGGCAATCGATGAGGCGTCAGTGGTGTCAAAGAACTCACCAATTCATTCTTGAGCGGTTTTCCTTGAGGTTGCTTTTTTAAGGGTCGTTTTTTCGATACCTCTGATGTTTTATTGCTTTTGATTGGTACTTTATTGTCTGCTCTCTTAATGTTTTCAGGCATCTTACGTAATTTAGATGCTCTGGTCTCTTTGACAACCACTGGTCCTGGCTTCTTATAAGGTTTTGGAGGAGCCGGTTTAAAAGTTGGTGCCGGGGATCGAGCTTGACGAGACTTTGAAGCTAGAGTTTCTTTGACATTAGTTGGAGGAGGTTGCTTTTGTGACCTATCTTGCGACTTGATTTTGTTAGCAGCTACTGTTTTTCCGGTTTTCTTTAAATTTTCTTGAATCTTTCGCATTTTCGATGCCCTGGTCTCTTTGATAGAAACAGGTCCTGGCTTTTTATAAGGTTTTGGAGGAGCTGGTTTAAAAGTTGGTGCCGGGGATCGAGCTTGACGAGACTTTGAAGCTAGAGTTTCTTTGACATTAGTTGGAGGAGGTTGCTTTTGTGACCTATCTTGCGACTTGATTTCGTTAGCAGCTACTGTTTTTCCGGTTTTCTTTAAATTTTCTTGAATCTTTCGCATTTTCGATGCCCTGGTCTCTTTGATAGAAACAGGTCCTGGCTTTTTATAAGGCTTTGGAGGAGCTGGTTTAAATGTTGGCGTTGGAGTTCTCTTTCTATGTAATAACTCTACAAGTGATTGATCAAATGCCATGTCTTTCAATTTCTCTTCATGGTTTTGCCCTTTAGCTTCTCTTTCTTCTTCCATCTTTTTTAGACGTCTTAGCTTTGTAGCTTTTGTCTCCCGAACGGCTAACACTGGTGGTGGGACAGGCTTCTTTTTTGTAGTTGGTGGAGGAGAAGTACGAGACCTTGGTGGATTCGATTTTACCAGTGTTCGTCGTTCTAGGGTTTTATCCGGTGTTGCAACTGCTGGTAAAACATCTAGTGTTACATCTGATTCCTCATTTTGCACCCGTAATTTGTCCTGTCTTAATCGTGAAGCCTTAGTTCCTCGGACTATAATTTGACCTTTGGAAACATTAGGTGGCTTCGGATATCTAGGAGGGTGTACTTGGATATCTGACTTACTCATGCTAAGTAAATCATCCAGTTTTTCTATAACTTTTGTGAGTGTTTGAGTCACATCTTCTTTATAATCTGTTTCAGCTAATTGGTTTGTTTCTATCTGGACAGATTCGGGATTCAAGGTTTTCTCTTCTGCAACTGCTGGTCTAGGTTTTAAATCATTCTCCTCATTTACATCTAAGTTTTTTAACTGATCTTCTACTATATCCCTATCGTATATCTGTACGTCTTCGTACAGATTATTTTCTTTCTCCCATGATTTAAGTTCAACATCTTCTGTATTTTTATAATCTGTTTCAGCTAATTGGTTTTTTTCCATCTGGAAAGATTCGTAGTTCAAGATTTCGTCTTCTGCAACTACTGGTCTAGATTTTAAATCATTCTTCTCATTTACAGCTAAGTTATTTAACTGATCTTCTACTCTATCCCTATCTTGTCTCGGTAAGTCTTCGTACAGATTATTTTCTTTCTCCCATGATTTAAGTTCAACATCTTCTGTATTTTTATAATCTGTTTCAGCTAATTGGTTTTTTTCCATCTGGACAGATTCGTAGTTCAAGATTTCGTCTTCTGCAACTACTGGTCTAGATTTTAAATCATTCTTCTCATTTACAGCTAAGTTATTTAACTGATCTTCTACTCTATCCCTATCTTGTCTCGGTAAGTCTTCGTACAGATTATTTTCTTTCTCCCATGATTTAAGTTCAACATCTTCTGTATTTTTATAATCTGTTTCAGCTAATTGGTTTTTTTCCATCTGGACAGATTCGTAGTTCAAGATTTCGTCTTCTGCAACTACTGGTCTAGATTTTAAATCATTCTTCTCATTTACATCTAAGTTATTTAACTGATCTTCTACTCTATCCCTATCTTGTATCTGTAAGTCTTCGTACAAATTATTTTCTTTCTCCCATGATTTATGTTCAACATGACTTGTTTCCATATCAATTTCAAAACGAACAAATTTCTTATTTTTCTTCTTATCTGATGTTTTAGGTTCAACATGACTTGTTCCCATGTCGATTTCAAAATATTCAAATGCCTTTTTATTTTTGTTATTGTCGATTTGATGCTCTTGTATTTTTAGTTCATGTACTTGTTGGTTACTTTCCATTTCCGGTTCACTTTCCAGCCCAATTTCAAAATAGTCAAATTTCTTATGTTTCTTCTTATCTAATTCAGCATCACTTGTTTCCAGCCCAATTTCAAAATAGTCAAATTTCTTTATATTTTTTATGTTGTCCAATTGTTGTTGCTGTAATTTCAGTTCCTGTTCGAGTTGGGAACCTTTAATGGGTGGCAGTGGACTGGCCTTAAAAGGAGATGGGGAATCTTTGATTCGGTAGGCCATAGTAAATAAGGAAGGCTCTGGACTAGCAAGAGCACTTCCTATTCCTGATATAATGTCCAATCTGTTTGCTGGTAAATGGGCCTGGAATGATAAAGATAATGGTGCAAGATTTAGGTATTGCTGAAATTTCAGAACTATGAAGGACTTTCTCAGAATATATCTGATGAATAAACATTTAGACCGTAGAATAGTGAGCATCACCAGAAACGCCAGCGGCTCTTAACACAGTCCATTATACTGCTACCATCTTATGTCGACGTGACCGAACATATAGTTTGTCGTCGGGTACTGTGAAAGCAACTATCCCGGCATAAAATTATCATAAAATTTACCTTGTCAGTTTCCGAGTAAGTTCGAGAAACACTTGTCTTATAATCAGGCATAGCCACAGTTTCAATATCAGATGCTGTTCTTCTGGGTGGATGATCTGAATCCGCTATTTCAATTAATGATTCGGCAGAAGCTGCGTGTACAGTATCACTTCTTGATGACATATCAACTGATGCTGCTTTCAGTGGTGGTTGCTCGGAAGAGACCACTGCTTCATATGACGACCCTGTCAGTCGTTCAGGTGACGATTCAGGTCGTTCGGGGTTAGATGCGGCAAATACTAAAGCGTCAGCTAATCTAGAGTGACATCTACTAGATCGGTCTCTGGACTGGACTGGTTCGTTTAATTCCAACTCTTGTTGGTTGAAATCCATATTGTAGAATCTGGAAACAAATAAATAACAAATCGTACAAAATTCAGGTTCCTGCTAAACAAAATAAACTTCGTCAATCAAGTTCCATTCCCTGCATATGTACATTAACGTCCACGTAGGTTTCATGGGACGCATCAGTAAAATTGAAGACGAATCAGATTTTGATTTTCAATTCTTAAAAATGATAGGGATATTTGATAGTAGATATTCAGATTTATCTTGGTAAAACAGCAATAGTTGTTTTTCTGTTGGATCCCAATCTGAAGCATCATAAGAAACTTCAATAAGAACAGTATTTGAAAAGATAGTCTACATTACGTTCAAATTACCTCTCACATAAATTAAAGAATACAAAACATAAATTAAAGAATACAAAATTCCACTTGGAAATCTGTATGGAGGTAAAACAATAACTTACTTAAGCGATTTTACTCAATATTCACAAATCCTGATTGTCTACCACAAAAAATATGAAATAATTCCTTAAAACACACAGAATAATGCCAAGGAACTGATACGAATGTACTATGACGTCATAATACCTTTACAAGAACGTTATTGTTCGGTTAACTACGCCAAGCTCCGTAACGTTACGGACATGTTGTCATGATAACCGATGTCAAATTTATCAAACCTTTTTTGTGAATTCTATCTTAAAATATGCTTAAAGTACCATATCACTTTAAGTTAAAATCTTATACAATTCCTATTTCTTCTGTAGTAGTGATATAATGTAGACTATGCTAAGGTTCAAATTTTATATCTTTTTAATGTCAAAAATTAACCCCGTAGGTTTTCAACAAGATTTAGAGTAAGAATAAGGGGAAGGCGATGACAACCTACCTAGTTAACTAGACTATTTCCTCTGTAAGATGAATATAATGTATAATTTCGCTTAGAAGTTTCCTTCCACTTTGCTCTTATACTTGTAGCGCCTAGTACTACTAATAATACACTGACGTCATAATCAAAAATCCTGGGAAACGTTAGTAATGGTGCGTTCTATACTACGTTCCGGAACATTGGTATTGTTAATTTCATAAAAAAAAATCGAGTGCATAAAATCCCAATAATAGAAAACAGGGTCTATCCTTGCCATGTACGATGTCGTAACGATGGCCATTCAAACGGGTTGGCAATGCATTTTCAGTTTCGCCAACACATTATATATCGCACTTTTTACAAGAAATTAGGTTTAGGTCAACATGACAAGTCTTAAATTAAAACTAAAAATTCATTGACTAGTCTGGCGAAATCCCTCTACAAATGAATTCAGCAGAAGACAAATGGTGCTGGGTTGCTTAAAGCAGTCACATATTGAGTCTGTTTCCTTTTTATTGCATACCTCATACTGTTTAATGTTCCACACGAGTCTTAGTGACTACAGCTAGGTAACTTGTATCTTAGACTTCCAGCGTCCTACTAGTTTGTCAAATATCGACTATAAATGTTATGTCTGTAATAGTATCCACTGAACAGCCGTGTTGTATTCCTGACTGCGATATTGCCAATAATGTGCTAAATATGAGAGATTTGATTAATTTCGCTGATTCTGAAGACCTACACCTCTATCTGTTAAAACTCGATGCGGAGAAGGCTTTTAATACAGTATCACAATCGTGCAAGTTCAATCTTTTAAATGATTTTGGAGGAAAGTTGAAAGCACCAGTTCTCGTCCGATCACTGAAGTTAAGCAACGTCGGGCTCGGTTAGTACTTGGATGGGTGACCGCCTGGGAACACCGAGTGCTGTAGACTCCTTTTTGCTGGTATTTCCCCTTGATTTGCGAGAAAGACCCGCCAGAAAAATTCCTATATAATATCTACGGCCATACCACGTTGAAAGCACCAGTTCTCGTCCGATCACTGAAGTTAAGCAACGTCGGGCTCGGTTAGTACTTGGATGGGTGACCGCCTGGGAACACCGAGTGCTGTAGACTCCTTTTTGCTGGTATTTCCCCTTGATTTGCGAGAAAGACCCGCCAGAAAAATTCCTATATAATGTCTACGGCCGTACCACGTTGAAAGCACCAGTTCTCGTCCGATCACTGGTTAGTACTTGGATGGGTGACCGCCTGGGAACACCGAGTGCTGTAGACTCCTTTTTGCTGGTATTTCCCCTTGATTTGCGAGAAAGACCCGCCAGAAAAATTCCTATATAATGTCTACGGCCATACCACGTTGAAAGCACCAGTTCTCGTCCGATCACTGAAGTTAAGCAACGTCGGGCTCGGTTAGTACTTGGATGGGTGACCGCCTGGGAACACCGAGTGCTGTAGACTCCTTTTTGCTGGTATTTCCCCTTGATTTGCGAGAAAGACCCGCCAGAAAAATTCCTATATAATGTCTACGGCCATACCACGTTGAAAGCACCAGTTCTCGTCCGATCACTGAAGTTAAGCAACGTCGGGCTCGGTTAGTACTTGGATGGGTGACCGCCTGGGAACACCGAGTGCTGTAGACTCCTTTTTGC